TTTTCTCAATGCCCATCTGACGAGGAGTAGTGATGGTTCGTTAAAAAAATCCATTTATGGAATTGCCAGCTGGTCAACTTCTATATCTGGGTTCCACTAAGCATAAATAGGAATCTTATTCACTCTTTATGTTACCGAATGCATCAGGTATGTAGTACTGAATGCATTGACGAGGAACTCTCATTCCTCATCAGAACTTTGGCTGAAAATGGCTATCCAAATCATCCCATAGAGACAAACATGGAAAGAGGTCGGGACAAGGAATCCGGTAAGAAATATCTTTATATAAATCTGGAATTTAAAGGTGATCAAACTTCTGATATAATTAAGAATTGGTTAAGGGCAGCGATAAAAAGAATCCTCTATGCAGCAAAGCTGCGACCAAGGTTCACCAGTAGGAACTTGTTTTCTGTATCCATAAAGGATAAGCTTCCTCGTCTGATCGCCTTCATGTGCATCTACCAGTTCATCTGCTCCTGTGAAGCAAGATACATAAACCGTAGCTAGTACTTTCTTTCGACTCGGATACAAGAGTATGTCCCAATATAGTTCTATAAGGGTGAGAGGAAGACAGTTAGAAGTTCCATTTTTGAACATCTAATCGACTCTAATCAATCCACTGATACAGAGATTAATTTTAAGGTTGTTTATACAATTCGTCTAAATCTGACTAGATTTCTTTTCACCTAATTCCTTAAAATAACAGAAGCTCTTGCAATCCATGACTTGAAGCTAGTACTGTGCGTACAAAAGAAGTACGACTTATCGTTATTCTTAACTTAGCTTTAAGCTGTATTATTATTAATATTATTGTTATTATTATATTCTATATTTGGAAATATCCTCTCTCTTTAATTGTATTATATCCTCATGATTTTATTTATATTTGTCTCTGATATCATTTCATTTCATTTTACCTATGGATTAACTTTGATTATTATAAAATAAACCATTTTATTTACTTCACTTCATTCACATTATGGTTCACTGTTAACCTATTAATTAATCTACACACACACAACCATTTATTATTATATATTACGTAATCTAGTGTTATAACGTTTCTATTACATCATCATATTTATTCCTTGTTCATATGTCCTTGTGAAACTAATACTTTAATAAAGTTTTCATTTATATATATTACTACAATCTCCACAAAACCCAACTGATATTAATCAAAATGTGCTCACTAGTGACTTGCTTCACGAGGTATATCCTGGAGTTCTGGTGCGAAGTAGTGACCAGTGGAGTTCAACCTGATCTGTTGTGAGAGAGTAACTCACTGAAGGCAATGGTGAATGAGTCGCTCAGTTTCGTGGATTAGTTGAAGTTAGACATTAACACCGTTGGATGCCGGCTCACTTGTCTAGTGATTAAGTGCTCGCGCGCAAAACCAGTAGGTCCTGGGTTCGAATCTCGCAGGAGGTGAGGTCGTGGATGCGCACTGCTGGGGAGTCCTACAATAGGACGAAACGATCGTCTAGTGCTTCCAGGTTTCCCATGGCGGTCTAGTTTCAACTGACTCATGATCTTAACTATTGAAATTCCTACAATTTCCACAAAACCCATCTGATATATATGATTTTACAACTAGAAAACAAATTTGTTGAAAAGAGATTTTTTTCACTATCGAACCCTCACTATTATATCAGAGGCTGGTATAGTTTGCTCAATATTTTACAGATTCCCAATTTATTTAAATTAACGTAATTTTGCAAAAGTTATTTACATAGCAATACTAATTCTTAGTGGGTAATCTCATTCCTTTTAAAAACTCGATACATCTCCACGTCATAATTTTGTAGAATAATTTCGCTAATAGGTGTAATAAGAAAAAAACTATGGTATTATGCAGTGATAAAAAGTACAAAGTATTTTGACTATGTAAGTTACATACAGAATGAAGCCAATCAGAAATACATGAGAAATTCGATAACAGAAACCATTCTACAGGAGGTTTTTAAGGTTAACGGCTAATAAATGCAAAGCTTTCTTAACGAGATAATTACGATAAACTTTAGTCGAACCATTCAATGAACAGTATATACATATGTTAGATAGTTGGAGGTTGTCCCTAGGAAACCCTGCTCGATGTAGGTCGTCACTTATCAACAAAGCATGAGTGAAAACGTGAAGGGACTGATGTTTCTTGCATGATTCTAGCCTGCTCCACCTAGTCTCACAGTTTGAAACCTTGCCATTGAGCTATTCGGGCTGTGTCTGATCTCTTATAAGACCAACGTACTTAAGATTGATTGATCACTGAGTAGTGACTAATGTCATATATGTCAAACCCTTTAAGTATTGACTACATTTTACAGCTTAATTAGTACCAATCATTTAACATTAACATATTGTACATGAGATGTCGAATCACTTAGAATCGCAGCCTCACTTTGATTTTGATACACAGAATTCGATCAGCACTTAGAGGATTAGACAAACACGACAATGGTCACTGCTCAGTTGTTAGTTAGTTACATATATATGTATATTATTGAGAAAATTTATGAGATTTAAATACCATGACATATTATCTGTAGAATAACATGGAATTAGTTATTTGGAGTAAGGCACTAAATAATATACTTAGAAAACAAGTAACATATTAAACGACCAAGAGTGAAAGTTAATAATAATTTTTAGTTTTCAGTGAAAGTTTCAGGTTTCCTTCTCACTCGTACATTACTATAAAGTAGTATTTCCTGTGAGACTATAATTTATAGACGACCTTTGAGGGACGCTAAAATGACCTTGAGAATGGATGCCTACTAATTAGAACGAAATGAGAGTTATAAACCAGTTAGAATTATGATTTACGGTTGATGGTTAAGGTTAAAAATTAGAATCAGGGTTTTCGTCACCAACTGACATCAGCTATAATGCCAAAACTCTATTTAGCCAAATGTATGAATGAATTTCGAACTATAATTTATTACTCGTTATCTTATATCTGATTGGTTCGTCGATAAATTATAGTCTCGCCGTATTTCCTTTTTAGTGAGATCATGGTGTAATTCCACAGACTGAATATCACGTTACATATCATATATTTATCAATGGATTATTAGATGACAAGTATAAATTATTAAGACAGTGGAAGGAAGAAGTTTGTTAATCAGTTAATGTCAAATTCTTGATAATTATAACTGTTAAAACTATTATTAATATTGTCGGAAGTTTGAAAGTATGATTGACAGACAAATATGATACTACTTAAATTCATTTTGTATTGTTTGTTTGAGTCTTCCCATTGATATTTACAACTGCAGTTGATCAGTCTTGAAGTGAACATCAACTCTGGGCTGTGGGTACGTCCATACAACGAGTCCCAAAAAAGACCAAACGCTCATCCTGGATCCCACTGCTAGCCACCATCCATCTTCGCTTATAATGATAACTTTCGTTTATTTCATTTTTTTATCGATCATTTTGTTGATAATTTTTCTAATATAAGCAGTGATATTCATGTCTGTGAACACTCCTCTATTTGAATACATATATTGTACTTAATGAGAAACATTTAAAGAAGAAACAGGGTGTCATCACATAATAACAAGAGTTTAATTCACTGGGTATATTGTTAAATTTAATACAAAGTTAATAAATTTGCCTTTGAATTTCAACTATATCCTATTTCCTATGTTTATGTATAAATGTGAGTATACTATTGTTATTTATTATAAAACTTGGCTTTGGGCGTCAACCCGTAGTGACGAAACAATCTAATTCAGACGAACTTTGTTGGGTATTATATATATATATATATATATATATATATATATATATATATCAGACTAAGTCAATCTTTACTCATTTACCATATAGTATAAATTATATAGTGCCCGTTTTCATTATAGCCCTGCCCATTGGATGACCTGAAAGGATAACTAAAATTATTGATTATATATATCGATAGATTGTTTCGAGTAAACTATTTACTTTAAATTGCTAGTTAACTACAGATTAGATAATGAGCAGTACATTTTGGGTAGGATATAGTTTCATTTTAAACCATTTGAAATGTATTCGTCTGATGTTTTTTATACACAGTACTACGGAATCTTTATATTGTAATAATATAACAAGGAATGATCAAATACATTACCTCACTTGTATGGATGATTATTGTTTGTTGATTAAATAAATGTATTATAATCAGAGTAGTCACGTAGTAATATAACTTCTTATAATCGTATTATATAATTTGTAGCATGTTAATATAAATTTACTGACCTTTGAAATTACAACGTTATTCTCAAGTTAATTATCCTTCATCCAAAACCATGATTGTTAGTTAAGGTTTATCAATGAATAGCACATTGGACATGTGAAGCAAATTGATTCCCAATGTAAACATTAACACTTGAATCCAAATACATTCTGATGATGAGTCCAGAATAAAATGAAATATGCTTCTTAAATTTAGCCGCTAGCCATAATCCATCTATTTTCATAAAACACTAATAATTGTTTTTATATAAGACTATTTCTGTTCTCTATGTGTATGCATTGCCTTTTAATAGGATCAAGTTAATTGACTATTTACGTGGTGAATTTAGTTTCTATCTTCATTCAATGCTCAGAAAATAAATTCTCCTCAAATAAAAAAAAATGTATTTTTTTTTCATGTTCATTTGCTAATACCCCCCACATCGAGTTACTGATTTGACGTTAGTAGACTGTCATTTATTGTACTGAATCCTTTGTCTTCTAAAAAGAATCATTAGAATAATAAGTTAATACTGAAATTCATTCTAATCTATCTGAAGAAATTCATTGTATCTAATTAGACTGAATGATTTTATTTATTCAGTACATAGATATTATTACTGGATGTATGCAAATAAATCACTTATGTATACGTGCTAAAAACTTAGTAAGAGTATATTGTTTATGATATGAAAACACATAATAAACCATAGTGAAAACATTGATTGTTTTATATATACAAAGTTGATTGAACAGTTATTACTTTTTTTTCTTCATTATTTTAGATCTCAAAGTGAAATTCGCAATGATACAGCAAAACTTCTTTTGGATTCCATTGATACATATCCGACAAGATCATTGACTGTTCAATCAGAACGTAGTTCTGAACGCATTCCATCTATTAGTTGGTCAGTTCATCCAACATCTCCTTTAAGTTCAAAATCACCAACGGGAACTTTATCACATGAAAACATGGATGGAAATGCTGGATTTTTTATGGTTGAAGTTAAATTATTAAGTGATGAAGAGGTCCCATTACAGTTGGAAGTTACCGTAAGTCTAGGGTTAACTGAATTATTGATTTGAAATGACCAACATTTTTTGATAAATACACTGATGTACTAAACAAGTCACTGGGACAGAGATGTATATTGATGAACATGGCTAAAATTAGTTAATAATTCTATAAGCATTAGCATCTATAAGAGGAATTTGAGATAGTCTAATTTATATAAATTAAATCGCTAGCTGATCTTAGTTAGACCATTAATGAAAACATAGGAATGGATGACCATTTTGTCTTAGTGTAGGAATCATCAAGAGTGCGCATCCACAACCTCAGATCCGAGAATCAAACTTTGGACCTTCTGTGGTGGTTTACACAAAATGGATTGTTTAAAAATAAGAATTAATGAGTTTAGGATGTATATATAATTAAAAACTAAATTTACCAAAGTCGGCTTTCCTTCTAGATACATGAAGTGACATTTCTAGAGTATTTCAAGATGATTTCCATTGATTAATATATAAAAGATCTGGGGAATTTAGAGGGAAGGGATGTGGGAAGAGAATCCACTAGATTGTCATTCTAATTAACTGAATAACAATAAAAATGAGTAGTGAGTCCAAAATGCTTCAGTTAATAAGACCTATGATGGTTAACCATTAACTCCTTTTGTATAGAAAGGTAAAGTTCAAGTGTTGTAATTGCTTTGACTTCCAAAAAGTTTGATAATATGGAATTGGATTATTTGTTGATTATTTTGCAATCACTTTGTTCCTTCGCAATTAAATGTCATACTATCAAAATGTGAAGAGCATTTTCTTCTCAAAGTTATGGGCTTCTTTTGGAATATATTCAACAAAACCTGTAGATACCTGTTTTGTTGTTCTTTTCAAGTATATTTAAATCGATATGATCATTTGAAAGTTTCCAGGTTGAAATCATTAGTCAATTGAAGCTAGAGCATAATGGAAGAGCTGGAAGCACTGGACGGCCGTTCCGTCTTAGTTTGGGACTCCTCTGTGGCAGTGCGCATCCACGATCACGCACTCCGCGGGATTCGAAACCAGGACCTACTGGTTTCGCGACAAGGGATGTGTAATTTGTCTACCTTTGTTTATGTTATTAAACATGGTGTTATATACAGTGGAAACAATTTTAGAGCAAGAAATATCCTCTTTAAAGCTACTTTTAGTCTTACATTATTAAATGTATGATTTGGTCACTTTTAACTAACAGCTGGATAAAAATGAAGTGATTAATGATGAAAAACACCTATAGAAAGGTAAAATTTGAGGGACTTGTTTAAAATCTATCTTTCTGGTTTTGAATGTTATTAGATAATTGTAAGAAGCCATATGAGTATAACCATCATTTTTTTAGTCTTCATTAAAAGTGGATTTACATACATTTTAATATTCTTTTGGTATGTATGGGCTACATAGAAGAGTGTAAATTTTATTAGAGATTGTATTTCAATCTATCTACTTATATCTTTTATGCACAGAACACTATAGTACATCCTAATCTATTGAATAAAAAATACAAATATGTGTGTGTGTGTGTGTGTGGGGAAACTACAACTTGAAATCAAGTTCGCAGTAAAATTTATACTCTTATATGCATTATTCACTTAATAAATGAAAAAAAGTATATTAGACATTGCACGACTATTGGACATTGAAAAACGGATACACCAGAACTTTACAAACACTTATTTTATCCCAAGAAATAATGTTGCTAAAATTTAAACTTAAACAAATATACAGGTTACATATGAACATCTCTAATTAACTTTCTACTATAAAAGTCTTATATTCTGAGATGGTGGAAAAGATTTATAGCTCAAGTGAATGACTTTGATGGTGTTTTGTTCTCTAGAGCTGGATGGTTTGGTTATGAAGCTTTACATGAAGTTTATGCTGATGATACCGTTTAGAAGAACGATGAAAGCTCTACGATCAAAGTATTCAACTCGGTGAACAAAACTCTATCAAAATTCTTACATTCTATTTTAACGTAATAAAAATAGACAATTGTCGTATTCAGTTTAGTTTTATTATACTGATTGCATCTATTTAAATATGATTTATTAATCAGTTATGCATCTAAAACATCTATTAAACTGAGGACAGTATAACTAGTTTATTATGACGGTTAATTGAAATAAATGTTAAGCTGTAAGGTAATTTGGTTTAATATCATTTTATGTGTCTTTTAAATCTACATTCATCATAAATGTCAATGATAATAAAAAGTTGACCTGAATATATCTCCTTTTTGTCCAGATTAACAAAAATAATCAGTAAATAATTATTTAGCCGTGAAGTGTCGTACCTAAATAAAAAAATAAACAAACAAATAAACCACTGAGCCATCATCCAATGGTGTTAATGTCTAACTTTAACTGGATACCGGCCCAGTGGTCTAGAGGTTAAGCGTTCACACACGAGACCGATAGCTCTCGTGAAGTGGGATCGTGGATGCGCACTGCCACAGAAAAGTCCCAAACTAAGACGGAACGGCCGTCCAGTGCTTCCAGGTTTTCCATGATGGTCTAGCTTCAATTGACTCACGAATTCAACTATTAAAATAGCTATGATATCCACAAAATCTCCCCTCTGATTATAAACAAATAAACCTTTCTATTGCCAAATGTATACCATCATTATTATTAAGGGTTCGAGTTATCCCTTTATTAATATTTTGAAGTGAATTCTGATCTGTTTTTGTTGGGATATGTTCATCCAGTATGAATTGTCTTGATACAACCATTATGTCACAAAATATTAAGGGTTGTGATTATGTGGTTTCAGTAGTTCTGTCGATTACATATTGTGTATTTGAAGAGGAAGGTAATTGGTTCAAGTATTAATGAGAATATCATCACCGGGATGTAAGCACCTTCTGATGTATACTTGTTTGTTTGGAATTTAGTAAATAAATAATTAACTGAATAGAGTTCAATCCTCGATATAATTTGAGAGGAAATTTCGGTATTTATGTCTAACCTTAATTGCATTTCTTTTGTTCCTGTATATTTATTTTGTTCCATTGGTTAGTATAGCTCATAAGACAGAGTATCAGACAACATCAGTTCCCTCAAGATAAAAAGTATTTCTTAGCATGACGAGTATCAACTAGGATCAAACCTAGGTCGAGCATGGTTTTCTATCAACTACTTCTAGTCATTTAACATCAAACATAGTCTATATGGTGCTGAATCATCCAGATTAATGCTACACTGGAACTCAGTCTTCAGAATTCAACCATCATTAATAGACTAGACTGATAAAACATTATTCATTACCAACACTAGAATTTAGAATACATATTTCGTCGTACATCGAAATGGTCAGTTAGATTTACGTTAATAGCACAGCTATTATCCCCCCCGCCACGGTACTCGATTTCAGAACTTTTGGTATTAACCTATAATGCGGGCGAGATTACAATACATGGACGACTTTAGAGTGGTGCTGAAGTGACCTTAAGGAGCTTCATCTACTTATTAGGGTTGAATGAGGGTTTTTAATAAGTGTAATGAATTACGAATAAGACTGAGAGTTATAGGGTGGGGTTAGGAATTAAATATAGATTTCTCATCATGAACTGATGTTTGCTGAAATGCTGAAATGCTATTTGGCCATATAGATGAATGAATTCGGCGTCAAAATCCAAGACTTCGTACTTTTAATTTCATTGTTTGTGTAGAATTACTTTTGTAAAATGATCGCAGTTACTGAAACTTGAATAATTCCACCGTTTCGTCCGGCAAGTTTGTCTTAGTTTCTTCAGGATTAAAATAAAAACCGAAATTATCAAAAAATATATAACATTCGACAATCACATTAAATCTACTAACGCTAATCTACGGATTTAATTGAATAAGCATTTTGTGCAAACTTAATTTGATTGTTAAACATTATATAAAAAATTGTTGCTCTGGTTGTTAAAAGGGGCATCGGCCTCATGACTTTCGAAAAAACTCGGCTCTCACTATGAGGCCTCATAAATTTTCGAAATGAAGATCTAACTCTCAGGCAGATTTTAAATGGTTTGAATTACTTTTCCCGGTTAGTGCTTTTTTAGCGAATTAGGTTTCTACAAGATGGAGTCGGTAATCCCATACCCAACCCTCCTCCTTTATCCAGGCTTGGGACCGGCAGTAACTCTAGAAGAGTTACAGGCCGAGTTAAATATTATATACTTCTTGATAATTTTGATCTTGATGATATTTTTGAAAGATTCGAAACAAGTTTGCTGAATGAAACGTTGGAATTATCTAAATTTCAATCGCGATGATTATTTCTAATATAATTTTGCACAAACAATGTTTTTTATATACTCGGCGCCCAATTTATGTTAGACTATTTGTAAAAATATTGACGAATATCTTTGTATAAATTTGATTCCATGGGTCTGTTCAGGAATTATACTCTCACCTAAATGCGTTGTTAATTTAACTGCTGAGTTCAGATAATCAATTACCTATGCAATGGGTATGAATGTTAGTTTACTTGATAATAATTGGAATTGTCTCGTTGTTGACATTTTTGACTGAAATTCAATCATTTGTAGGTGGAGTTTGGTTCTTTGTGCTGGATGGTTTTATCATGAACCTGTCATCGTTCTTCTGAACATCATCATCAGTTCAAACTTCAGATAAATGTGTAGTGTTCGAATTTCTGCACATATGACTCGCAGCTTGTTCTATCGACATCGATCTTGATTTGTTATTGTTGACATTTAACCTGTGATTGTCTACTTCCTTATTTTGATTGTATATCCTACTGATTTGATCCTTGTTCCAATGTTTGTCCAAGATTTTTCTGATTAGTTGATAGATTGGATCGATTTCAATGTGTTTGTTGATCGCTGATTAACCTGAGTGCCAAGCTTCTACAAATTCCCTCGTGCTTTTAGTATTCCTCTTATCTAAAATCTTAAACCTTTTACTAGTTGTCCACAAGCATCGATATGAGCTCAGACAACAAAACTCCACCTAAATCATTCACCTGAGCTACAAATCTCCTCCATCATCTCAAATTTAATCAGTCTTAGATGTTTACTTACAAAAGTTAGAATAATAAAATTCAAGTTTAAACATATTAATCATTCACAGACTGTGATCAAATAACTGTATAATGATTGCATACACTAATTTAATGGTTTAACTACCGGAATCACTAATATATTTGATATCTGATCTGTACAAATTTAATTAATTAAATTGTATATCAGAATGGGTCTTGTAAACATTATAGTGGTTTCAACGGTTGAGATCATGAGTCAATTAAAGCTAGACCACCATGAAGACTGATAGGTCTTGGATTTGAATCTCTCGAGGCGAGGTCGTGGATACGCACTGCCACAGAGGAGTCCTACAATAGGACGAAAAGACCGTTCAGTGCTATCAGGTTTTCCATGATAGTCTAGTTTCATGATCTCAACCATTGAAATTAAATTATTTATATTCAACAATTTGTGTTTCTAGTCATTGTGTCTGCAAAATTTATTATTCTAATATTTAACATCTAAGTACAATTACATCATAAACTTAACCTAATTAATATTGAGTAAATAATTAATTTATAAATAATGTAAGTTAATGTATATATACATCAACTTGGTATTTGTATTGTGTGTATCCTCATTTTTGTGTTTTAAAACGTTTTCTTATATCAGGAAATTTACATATTGATTGTTCTACAATACTTTAGTAAAAAAATAGGGAGTTTTCTTACATTATTGAATGTCTTGTTAATTATTCCCTTATTAATAATCGATTAAATCATGAAATTAATTCTATTGGTTAATAGAAAAGTTTTAACATTTTCAGTAATATACATTTTTCTATTATTTCGTTACAGTGGTAATGGTAGTAGCAGTAGTAGTAGTGGTAGTAGTAGTGGTAGTAGTAGTGGTGGTAGTAGTAGTAGTAGCAGTAGTAGTACTCTGTATGTTCACGCTATCAATAAAAGGATATATCAACTCAAACTGTTCATTCTTCCAAAAATCGATTTTATAAACTTTAAACAATATTGAATGTGTAAATTATTAGTTATCAATATAAGGTTGTGAAGATTGTTAAGTTTAATTTGATATCATGAATGGATGAATGTTAGACCATCATTGGAAACCTGGAATCACAGGACATTAGATCGTCATTGAAAACTCGAAGGAACTGGACGGCCGTTTCGTCCTAATATGAGACGATCCCACACGTGGGGCTGGAACCCAGGACTTTCGGTTTCGAGTACGAACATTTAACCTCTGGACCACTGAACCGGCATCTAGCAATGTTAATGTTTAGCTTCAACCAATCCACGATATTACTCGACCATCCACCGTTGTCTTCAGTAAGTAACTACTTCACGACAGACATAGTTGAACTACACTGGTCACGGCTTCTCAATTGAACTCCAGGAAATTCTTCTTGAAGCCAGTCACTAGAGAGCACATGGTCATTATTTGTTATTGTTTGACTATTATACAAATAACTGCTGAGGAGTCCCATACTAGGAGGAACGACCGTCCGGTGCTTTTATGTTTTAAATAATGATCTAACGTTTATTGGTCTATGACCTTAGCTAAAATCTAAATAATTGTTAATGAAAGAGATTTGATAGAATTTATAAGTGATTATTTCATAGTGAAAGATGTAAGAATATGTTTCTATAATTAATTTCATTAATTGATTATTTTAGACGATATAACTGGTTGACATGGATCAGGATCAGTCACGATGAATCCCGTACATTTATCACTATTTATCTCCCTATCGGTTTTGAGCTCCAGTATACTTTCAGACGTTTCTTTTTCATTTTGCCTTTTTTAACCATATTCTCAACGCTTAGTATTCCTTACTATCACTGCCAACACTGCTGTTTCTACTGGTTTGCTTTTCATCTCATTGTTCTAATGTTTCATGCCCGACTGACTGTAAATTGTCATAACTTGGTAGTTCTATCATGTTTTAAAACCAAATTAAAATGATCACCTGTATGACGCAAGTAATTGGACTAATAATTATAAGATTAATAATAGTAACACTACTACTACTACTACTACTACTACTACTACTACTACTACTACTGTAGTGAACGAGAACTCAGGTGGAGACGACCAAATGTATTTGCATACCAAATTACTGAATCTCTTAGTAAAATCTGAGAACCATATAATAAATACTTTATTTGCAAAATATCCATCAATTGTCTCAAATTTTTTTGTTCTTTCGTTTTAATACCAATCTTTCTCTGTTCTCATTCTTTTGCCTTCTATTTTCACAACCTTCTGCCACCAGACATTCCGCTTTCGATTAGTGAAACATACTACTCATATCTGTCGATATCAGTAGCACAAATCACGCTACGACTATTCATAAAATAACTGATAGTTGGTAATAAGGTGTTACTGTTTGTGGTAGAATCTTCATTAATTTCATGTAATCCTGAATATATTTTGAGAAAATCTGTAAAATATATCACCTACTGTACTCAATACTGCTTAATGATAACTTATGAATTCGTTGAGATAATTTATAGTAACTTTTTAAAGCATTGTAGCCATCTTTTATTTAAAATGAAATATCAGTAATGTAGTGGTGTTACATTTACATAAATGTTACGAAAGATTTTGATATGTAGTAAATTTTGCCTTGTTTTGGGTTGGTTAGCTGGATGTACCTGTGTCCTACGGTTGATGTTTATTCTGGGATTCGAACTCAATATCTTTCACCCTGAAGTCCAACACAAAATCCACTTGGGTCTTGTATTCAGATAGCCACTTATATAACACATGAATCTTTGTTCAATTAGTTATATCTTGCATTATCCCATTGTTGATGTTTTGACTAGATTTTAATCAGTTACAGTTGGCATGCATTCGTCCTTGAGAGTTGTTTCACTGATAGTCAGTCGTTAGCATACTGGGTTTTTATTTATTTCAGCTGGGTACTTTTCATCTTCAAGAATCTCTCATTTAGTTTCCTTTCGTGATCATACCCTGAACAAAGTGCTTACACAATATTTCGCAGTTATAATCTACTGCAGTAAAACATTTCTACATGACATTTATTATGACTGTGGCAAAATTACTACTTATTACAGCGGAACAAAACTGATACGAATCTATATAAGAACGAAGGAAAGACTTTCTGTGAAGAATTATTTATTCGACTCTTGATTGCCAGGTTGTGTATCCGCATCGCTGAAGATTCATGCACTAAGACGAAATGGTCGTCCAAGGCTTTCAGGTTTTTAATGGGGGTCTAGCTAAGATCATTTCGTGATTTAATCTGTGAAAATTATTTATTTACCCCAGTACAATAGGAGACGTTTATAATTTCCACGTGCTCGCTAGTCACTAGCTTCGTGAGGTAATTCTAGGATTTCTGGTGAGAAATCATGACCAGTGGAGCTAATCCGTGTTGGGTAGATACAGGTATCTACCTCAGTACAATGGAAGATGAATGCACGAGTTTGTGGATTGGTTGATGCTAGACACTAACACCATTCGATGCCGACTCAGTGGTTCAGTGGGTGAATCGTTCGCGCGCGAGACTGAAGGCCCTGAGTTTGAATCTCGCAAGGTGGGATCGCGGATGAGCACCACAAAAGAGTCGCACAAGAAGACGTAACGGCCATTCAGTGTTTCCAAGTTTTTCATAGTGGTCCAGCTTCAATTGACTCATGATCTCAACCATTGAAATAAAATAATTGTTCAAGATAAAGTTTATTCAAATATCTTAACATAAAGTAGATTCTATACACGTTTCAATAGTTACAATTGGTAACCAATTAGCTATTGTATTTCAAAGAATTTGTACCATACTCCATTCCTAGTCTATAATGAAGTATATACATATGTAGTGAGCAAGAACACCGGTGGGGACAATCGAATGTACTTGACATAAAATTACAGGATTTGTTAATAAAATCTAACAATCAAATAGTAAATATGTAATTTGCAAAATGTCCATCAATTGTCTCATAGTGACTCAAACTTCATTGTTCTTGTATTTTCATACAAATAGCATTCTGTTTCGATTCTTTACTGTTCGATCCTCTTGCTTCTTTGTTGCCAGACCTTCTGTTCACGACTAACATCATATACTACTTATGTCAATATAAGTAGCACACACCACATATATACATATAGACAAATTTTACCAAAATAAATATTGATTTTCTTGAATTCTATTTTGTATTTTTATCAAATAGAATGATTGTCTTGGTCGTGTATTATTCAATCAAGTTATAGAACGAATAGGTGGAATAATTGAAAAAGATTATTTTGGTCTACGTTATCTAGATCGTTCTAAACAACGAGTAAGATATTTGATGAATACATTCAGTTTTCACATGTTTACATGTTTGTTTTTTTCTTTAAACGTGTATAATATACAAAATATGAATAAGTCAAATACATTGTTTATGATAGAGCAACACTACTTATAAAAATCTTTAGAATGTAATTGTTGATAAGTTGAGCCAGTAAGACAAAGGTTACAAGATAAATGTACTCTGTTAGTAGAGATTTAGCTTCCTTTTTTTTTTAAAGGAAAACATGCTATTGGTGGAAAATGTGACTTTATTTTCCCAAGGATAAAGTGTGCATATATTCTTATTTCAGTTTTAATCAATAAAGCTGTAGTTTAACTTTCTATCTTCTTACTCACTTATCTGGTTTCTGCTCACGTATATGTATCTTCCATATATCTGCAATTAATTCTTCTAGATGATATATCATGATATGTGATTGATGTGATTAGTTTATATTTGATAAAAATGATACTTGTGAGTTAAAAGATTCATCCCATATCTTAATAACTGAATTCAAGATTCTACACAACACAGTGTAATTGTTTTTCAGAAGTTCAGACAAACCAATGGCCATCACTATAGAATATTAGGTAATATACAATAATTAAGAGTTCGTATAACCGAATTTTGTGTAATGCTAGAAACACATGACCTCTTTACATAATAAGTTAGACGATGAACGACCTTCAGTATCGACAAAAGATGGGAAGATTGAGAGAGATCATAAGAGAAACATGTACCAGGATAAATAACATCTCTAATACAACAGATTTCATTTGATTGTATTAGGATGTTTCATTGTTTGACATGTCTCAGGCTAAAGATAACACTTTTGACGTTTTGATGGGTTAAGGGTAAGACTGTTAACAATCGACTATTGTTTTATGATTGGAAGGGAATTCGAAGAGGAAATAACGTGTATACATCTTTAACATTATTTTGGGAATGAGTAGTTTTTTTCCACTGGTGAACATATAAATAAAGCAATTATAAATTACTTTTTTTGCGGTTGGCACATTTTTTAAAGCAAAGTTCATATTAAAGGATGAGGTTGCTAACACCTTGATCAACCTTCCTTTTTTACTCGGGCATGGGACTACCCCTAACCCTAGAAGGTCTTCAGTTGAAGTTAGCAATTACAAAAAGACCCGATTGAGTATTTTAACTATTCCCATTGGTTGAAGGACAACTAAACAAATTCATAACTTAAGGTTTGAATAATTTTTTTCTAATTAGAGTTTTTTTTAGCGAGTTAGTTTTCTACGGGATGGGGTCGCTAACCCCATGCCCAACCCTCCTACTTTATCCGGGCTTGGGACCGGCAGTAGCCCCTGGAGGGACTCAAGGCGGAGTTTAGCCTAAGATATTATTAATAATAGCAATACACTAGAATACTACTTATAATATTCTGAAACTTTAATAATAAGTAGTATTTAACATAATCGTGAATGTGTTGATTGTTACTGAGCTTTTATTTTGGTTTATTTCTTTATTTTACAGCAATGGCTAGAAATGTCTAAAACTGTTTATAAACAATTAAAATGTAAGTAACATTTATCATATTAATAATTTGTATATTTACCGAAATGTATCTATTCAATCAAGACTGTGACTTCTTAATACTTAGAACGTAATTCAAAACATAATATACGTTAAAGCGAGTAAATTATGAGTAACTTTGTAGAGAATGAATCTAGTTCATAGATTAGTCGTTTAAGTATAGTGATTTTGGTGAGACTATAATTTATGGACAACTTTTGAGTGACATCAGTGTGATCTTGAGTATGCCTAGCTACTAACAAGAATTAAGTGAGGATTATAAACCAGTGTGAGGAATAAGAATAATGATTTACTGTTGATGATTAGGACTAGGAATTAGATTAGAAGACGTAAAGGTGAGGATTGGCAAAGCAAGGGCCGCATTCCTACAACCGAAGAACGCATGGAACTCAAAACAACAGTCAATCAATATCACAGTCAGAATTTTCAATACGAACGTCAAAACAGTCCTATTGAACGGAGCTGAAACTTGTAGAACTACTACAACCATCATCAAGAACGTACAAATATTTATAAACAATTGTCTAAGCAAGAAATTCAACGTCCGTTGATCGGAAACCATAACCGACAGCTTTCTGTGGGAGAGAACAAAGCAAGTTTCAGTTGAAGAGAAATTTAGGAAACGATGATGGGGATGGATAGGAAATACATTGCAAAACTCACCAAACTGCATCACGAGGCAAGCCTCAACTTGCAATCCTGAAGGGAAACGAAAAAGAGGAAGGCCGAAGAACACATTACGTAGGGAAACAGAAGCCGATATGAAAAGGATGAATAACCAGTAGAAAGAGCTGGAAAGTATTGATCAGGTCAGGGTTGGATGGAAAGGGCTGGTAGGCGGTCTATGCCTCACCACGAGGAGTAACGGGCGTAAGTAAGTTTTCATCACGAACTGATATAAGCTACAATGCCAAAACTCTATTTAGCTAAATGGATGAATGTGTTTTGCACCAATACTCAAGATATGCTATCTTCTTATGTAAAAGTAGTAAAAAACAAATTATAAATCTTATATAATTCATAAAATATATAGAAAGAACATTTATGTTTCATCATTTTAACTGGATTATACAATCATTCAACATTAATAGTCATTGAAATTGTAAGGTTATTTTCAGTACTAATTAAATTCAGTAGTATAATTGTTGTTTCAGTAAATATTCAATTCTCATCAATAGCATCATATAAGTTTTTTAAATATGACTTAAATCAAGTAACTAAGTTCATCAAATTAAAAAATTATTCGTGTCAAAAACGAACAGAAATGTTTGTTAGTTTATTAAATGAAGATCCATTTTAGTCGTCTTACATATTCCTTGACATAAAGAGAATTTTAGTGAAAAAACACTTTTTTTTGACGAAATCATTTACTGAAGCTGTACATTCGAATTTATAGCTGTCTGGAAAATACATACTTTAGTGGTTTGAATTAATGAGTCCATGTAAGCTGGATCACCATTGAGGACCTGGAAGTAATGGACGGTTAGTTCGTCCTAGTATGGGACTCTTCAACAGTGCACATCTATCATTCCGCACGTGGGATTTGAACCCAGTGCCTATCGGTCTCACGCACTAATGTCTAACCTCCAGACCACTGAGCCGGCATCCGATGGTGTTAATGTCTAACTTCAACCAATCCACGAACTCGCGTCACCGTCCATCATTTTCTTCAGTGAGTTATTATCTCACAACAGATACGGTTGAACTTCACTGATCACATCAAGTGTTTCAAGGTTTTCCATGATAATGTAGCTTCATTTGACTCATGAATTAAACTAATAAATATTTATAGTTGTTTGGTAAATGCATAAGTTTATAGATAGAGAGAAAAGATTGCATAACAAAGTGATTTTTGATTTCAAATATCAAATGAGGTTGGATAATAATTAAAGGGTTAGAGAAGAATAGAAGGATGAAAATAATTACCGAGTCATAAATATGAAAGATAAGTGTCCGCTCGATAGATATGAAGAAACATTAAAAACATAAAGGTCATAAGAATAACTGACTTAGGTTGAAAATTACAAAACAGTAACTTAAAAAACAGGACTGAAACGTATTACTGAGGGGAATTAGAGCCAAGGAAGGATGATATATATATATATATATATATATATATATATATATAAATTAGAATGGTGGCTTGTGGAAATTGTAGAAGATACCTGTTTCTACCTGTGTCTGGTAGAGACAGCGAACGAATGGCTGCGCAAGATAATGGATCGGTTGAAGTTAGACATTAAAACCATCGAAAGTCGGCTCAGTGGTCTGGAGATTAGGCGTTCGTGCCTGAGGCCGATAGGTCCTTGGTTCGAGTCTCGCGGGGAAAATAGTGAATGTGCATTGTTGAGAAGTTTAGTATTATTGTAATTATTATGATACTGAAAAAATAAGTATATGTATTTGTGATTGTACAGCTTTGAAAATGTCTTCACTGAACCAATCTTTCTTTATTAGCCATATTGCAACGTGGTCGATAGCATTCGATCTGCATGAATAAGGACTTGACACACATGACATTGATCACCACCAAGTGATCAATCAATTGTGAAATCTAAGTACTGTTAGGCTTAGTTTAAAACCCCAAATAACATCTGAAAGTATTATAATGCAAGATGAAAATGACAGTTATATGAGGCTTAATCAACTGAAAACTCTATTATAAACTTATTAAGAATAAAGTTCTGGCACGTCGCATCATTTTAAAAAGACAAGAATGATTTCTGGTGATTCATTTAGTTTAATATCAAGTTAGATGTGTGATAGTTATATTTAAATTATACGAGAAGATTGTAGTAAAATATTGCCAATCGTGTAAAGTTAGACTAGTTAAGGTATTGGTATCAATCTAGTGGTCTGAAGGGTAAACATTTAGGATAAAACAATAATTTCAATAGTTGAAATCATGAGTCAATTGAAGTTAGACCATCATGGAAAACCTGGAAGCACTGGACGGCCATTTCGTCCTAATATGGGACTTATCAGCAGTGCACATCCACGAGCCCGCCATTTGTCTGATTTTTATTGGAGTCGTGCATATGAACTGCCAATGAGTAGTCTGGTACTAAGACAAAATGATACCTATCCAATGGTCCTTAATTTCCAATGATTTTCTAATTAAAAACTATGTCTATATATTATAGACAGTTTGATGTATAATGCTTTAACGTAATAAATGGCTAAATCTTTTCAGATGTTAGTCCAAGATCATTGAATTTTCGTGTTAAACATTATCCAAGTGATCCAGTTAATGAATTTCGTCAAGAAAAAAGTCGGTAAGTGATTTTAACTCATGTAATTTAATTCACAGTCGAGTAATATAATTAATTTGTTTACAATGACTAGTAGTTCAATATAGACACATTAGAACAGAGTGTTATATAGAATTGATAGATTAATTAATAACGTTGCAAACTTATACTAGGTGACATAACTATAAGATATATTATGCTTTCTTAATCGTTGCTTACTACAGTGTGTTATAATGAATCTTATGTCAACCTGATTTGTATCAATTCGAATCAGTTTGATACTACATTACTCATTGAATCTGAAAAAATGCGATAATTATGATTTCACTGCATACAAATATTGATTTTTACTTGATACTCAAAGGCCAGCCCAGAACTGGCAATGTACAAACTTTCAAGATAGATTTCCTCAGACCAAGTAGAGAAACCTGGTACATCCTAGATAAATCTGCGTGGAAGGTTTAATCGATGACGTATTAAATAAATTCAGACAACTGCTTATGGAAAATGGTTTTCTTCCAAGATTGATTGACAGTAATCCTAAACCAGTTTACTCACTCATATTGAGCTCACAAAATAATCACTTTCCAAACCCATATCTCAAAAATACATAACATAGTTGCTTAAAGGGCAAGAAAACTCAGTAAACCGTTTTATTCTTGAAGATCTGGTTGATCTCACTCATATCACTTTATCAGAATCTTCATTTAAAATTGCTTACTCCAAGAAAATGAGCCTGACTGTGAAGCTAGGTGACATGAGGTTGAATCCATCCGAGAGCATGAGGTTCCTCAATATCACAGGTTAACGTTGCCGACGAGTGCCAAGTAGCAAGAAGCCAGGTCCAGGGTTTCCTGCAAGCTACCGCCAAGTCACCACCTTACATCTCAACATAGTGCGTTTGATGTCGAGTAGCTTCCACCAGTTGCCACAAAGAAACTTGTTCAGTAGGATTCAATCTTCACTGGGAAGGGCCTAACATACATGACATCGGCCACTACTCAATGATCAGTGGGCTGTAAATACATCACATCAACCTCAACATCCTCATCCTCAGCTACAGATATTTTTAATCATCTTAGAGACTCACATTATTGATGTCATTGACTAACCTATGTTTGACTACCATCGACAACTGTTACGTCCTAGTATGGGACTCCTTGGCGATGCTCATCCACAACTTCACTTTAGGCGATCAGAACAAAGACCTTTATAGCAAGCGCAAACACTTAACCTCTAGACCACTGAGTCGCTATTCGATGGCGTTAATATCTAACCTCAATTAATCCAATATAGTTTCACGATCGTAGTCAGACAAAGCGGCCATTTGGTGTTTCTAGGTTTGAGATGGTTGTTTAACTTAGATCGCTTCTTGATTTTAATGAAATTTACTAATCTCCACATCACCGTACTGAAAATATATAGTGATTTTTGAAACACTAGTTGATCGGTTTTAGAATAAAAACATTTAGCATGATTACATTACGTAGGCTGATGCATAAATTTAGATTGGACATGTATATGTTCGGTACATCCTTAATTTATGTGATTTATTTTATTAGTATTCATATGATAAAAATATTGTCCAGAATAACAATGAAAGCTTCTTAGTTAAACTATTTAAATCATATGGTATTGTTTTACTTGGATCTTCCCATTGATGTTTAGGACTGAAATGGATCAGTCTGTTATTGGCATATGTGCATACTGTGCGTATTACCTCGATATTACCGTAATTCACAAGCTTTATAAGCAAAGATGGTAGTGGCTAGCAGTGGAATCCAGGACGCGCGTTTCGTTTTATTTGGGACTCGTCAGCTGGATGTACCTGCATTCTAGGGTTGATGTTCACTCTAGGACTGGAACCCAGTACCATTCGCTCCAAACGCCATCGCGTTATCCACTCAGCCTAATAGCCACCTGCTTGTGCAATGGGGTGAAGCTTAATTCATCTTAAGAAGGATTAGAGATGTTAAGTTTATTACTATTCGTTGACTCACTACAAAATTTAGGCCAAAATAATAATATTTGTGCTCAATGTTAGATAATATCATACTAAAGTAACTGAATACATATTTTTCTGATGTTTCCGTTAAAGAAGTATTGATCACCGTCGTTTAATTGTATAATATGGTAAATTGTTAGATTCTTATTATTAATTACAACTCAATATAGTTTATACAACGATCAATGAAGTCCAATCCATGTCGGATATGGAACATTTATCCATCTCAGACAATGGTGGATGGTCGCGCAATAAAATGGATTGGTTGACGTTAGACATTGACACCATTGGATGCTGGCTCAGTGGTCTATAGATTAAGCGTTTGGGCGCGGGACCAAACATTCTAGGTTCGAGTCCCGCCAGTGGGATTGTGAATGTGCATTACTGGGACAGAACGGCCGTCTAGTACTTTCATGTTTCTGATGGTGCTCAAACCTAGACTAACTCATGTATTCGACTTTGAAAATTATACAAAATTGTCAGTTACTTTAAAAGTAACATATAAAAAGTGATGTATTCTTAAATCGTTACAAATTATTTTGTAAGACAGACAAATCTTTGCTCAACAGTCTTTATCTACTAGACATCATGAATTTTTTTGTGTTGTTCAAGTCATTTTGAGATTATTAGAAATGGCTAGAAGATATTGGATCAAGCATTCAACTGACAGAACTTATCCAAAAACAAAAACATCACAGAAAAGGAAATGTGATGTATCAACTGTTTTTGAAACATTTTTACATTTGAATTTATATTGTTGTTTATTTTTTCGTTGCTAATCACTAATGTACGTTTTTCCTTAAAACATTTTTTTATTGAAAATACATTAAGATACTTGCTGTATCTTCAATTAAGACGCGATCTTCATAGTGGTAGATTGATTGGAAGAAATTTAGAAATGCATGTATTAGCAGCATGTATACTACAAGGTTAGTTATTATTAAGGATGTACACTTGTTTGCTCGTTTACTTTTTTAACGTTTTCTTATTTCATCTTTAAGGATTCTCATATTGATAATGATACTAGAAGACGAAGATTAACATTATCGAAATTTATCAAAGGGACTAATTGTTTTAAATTCTCATATTGACCTTAGATATCTATTGAAAGTCAGCAAACAGTGGAGATGCACAACCATTCAGGAGATTGAGACTAGAAGCTTTATGTCTCTTGATAAGTGCTAAGCTATTAGATCACAATACTAGGATCCGATTTTAAACTTAAATCAATAAAGGCTATTTACATGACTATCTTTTGATGACATTGGCGGGTAACTACCTCACATCTGATATGATTGAACTCCATTGGTCAAGGCTTCTCACTATGATTGAAAATTACAGACTGATCTTAATTACTAGTGAGCTGTCCATTTCTTCCTGCTTTCCAATGATTATCTAATAAAGATCAACTTATAATGTAGACTATGAAAATTTCATAATCTACAAAAACATCTATAGTAGTAATATACGTGAATTTTAAGTGACGTCTGATAATTATGGAAAGACAAACGATTTGTGATTCACTACTCACAAAACAGCCAATTTTTATCAATTATTTGTATATGGAATCTAGAAAGATGTATATATATATAGAGAGAGAGCGAGGGAGAGGGAGAGACAGATAGTATGTTTCTATGCATTGCGTATATGTTTATGTATATTTTTCTAAGGATAAGGAGCTCTACTTAAGTATGAACTGTTGTGTTCAGTCACCCATATACCATAAAAAAACTGTTGAAATTCATACTGCTGACTTAATTAGCACGATCCTTTCAGTTATATTGAGTTCATGGTAAATAATAATAATAATAATTTTATTTAATACCTTTTTCTATAAAAAATGCATATTTTTTTTGTTAAAAAACGTCTTTTTTTAGCTGAAATTGGAGACTACGATATCTTGTTAGATTATTTAGGACCTGAAGGTTCATTAGCTGATCTTAAAATGTTTGCTAATATTACACCAAAACAGAATCAAAAATTGTAGAGATTTATAAATCACTCAAGTAAGTAGAACTTTGAAAATTTTGATAAAAAAAGGTATAATCTACACTGTTTTCAAGGTGCATTAAAACTAATTTTAAAGTAATTCACTTGGTATTGTTTTACTTGAATATTCCCATTGATGTTTAGGACTGAAATGGATCAGTCTGTTATTGGCATATGTGCATCCTGTGCGAACTGCCTCGAAATTGCCTTAAGTCATGAGCTTTATAAGCAGAGATGGATAGTGGTCAACAGTGGAAGCCACTTTGATGCGCGTTTCGTCCTATTTGAGACATGAAGGTGGCTATTAAGACTCAGTAGCTGAGTGGATAACGCGATAGCATTTGAAGGTAAAGTTACTGGGTCCGAGTGCCAGAGTGAACAACAACTCTGAAACACAGGTACATCCACCTGACGAGTCCCAAAAAGGACGAAATACGCGTCCTCGATCCCATTGCTAATCACTACCTATCTTGGATTACAATTTTAAAATAGTATATAAACTATTTTTTTATATCAATGTGAAGAAAAAGTACCAATATTCATGGGAAACAAGTAATAACCGTGACGTACCCTTGTAGTGGACAAGAACACCAGTGGAGACAATCGAATGTATTTGAGCAAAAAATTACAGTGTATCTCGCTGAAATCCTAAAAACCATATAGTAAATCGTTAATTTGCAAAGTATTAATCCATCATCTCAAACTTGACTGTTCCTGTTGCGAACCTCAATCTATTGTCTCAGATTTCATTGTTTATCCATTTTCATAGCAATTGTGTTCCGTTCCTGTTCTTTTCTCATTACCTTCTACTAAAATACATTCTATGCCTGACCACCGTTATATACTACTTGTGTGGATATAAGTATATATATATCATTGTTTAATAATATCAATGATTAAGCTGTTTGTTTCAATAAATTAAACGTGGGATTGCCCAATCATCATTTAAAATACGGTGTAGATTAGATTACTGTAAAATTCTATCATTACAACATTTACAAATATTAAATTTATCCTAATTGTAATACTCCTTTTGCAGAGGTATGTCAATGAGTGATGCTGAGAATAAATTTCTTGAAAATGCTGCAAAATTTGAAACATATGGCATTGAACCTTTATATGTTCAAGTATGTTTATGATGATTATTACTATTTTGGTATATACTTACATAACTACTGATTAAATGTGTTAAGTTGATGAAGTTAACCAGCAAGGATGTCGAAATTTATTCAGTAAACAAAAATAAACCAATTAGACATTTTTATCATTATGATTTGTTTAAATCAGGAAATTAAAAATTTTCTAAAAAAGATGGATTTCAGTTAGGAATTTTATGCTCTAAGTTGAATAGTTTGATCATGAAGCCTTCATTGTTCTTTCGAATGATATCATCAGCATAACCTTCAAATAGAAGTGAAATGAAATCCAGTATTCATATTTTATTCTATTTTGAACTCATGATTAAATTTGAATGTAAAAGGAACATTATGGAACTGCCTACAGTTATATGTAAGATTTCATGTTCTTTGGAAGTGCAATCATAAGAAAAAAATTGATAGTCGTTCTTATTTCCAACAATATGCATGACAATATGTTTTGCAGTCTGATAGGAGCTTCTTTAAAAAAATAATTCAACCTATTGAACATAAACATGATCAGTAAATAACTATGCACCAAATAATAATAACAATCCAATCATATCCAGATGCTGAGCATGATTTAGTGTGTGAAAAAGAAGTCCGCGACTAGCAGACACGGTGAACTGCCTCACCAGACGACGCCCGACGTGGGGCTCGAACCCACGACCCTGAGATTAAGAGTTTCATGCTCTGCCGACTGAGCCAGACGGGCTTAAACTAAAATTTTATGAAGCAGGACTGACCATTGATACCTCAATAAATGAAGCTGAGTTGGTATAATTTGTAACGCGAAAATGACTAGTGTTTAGTAGATATAAAGAGAAAATTCATCCTCTACATTTATATTCATTTACAATTCATGAATCAGGGTCATCAAACGATGTATATTCTATTGTTTAGTCATTAGTTACCTTTCAAATATACCTTTGACAACGTTCCTACTGATATAAACACATCTATATTGATATACATTGATTTATCCTGATTATATATATGCTCTCTAGATAATTTGATTTTTTAGTTATCAACTTAAAAGGTGACTTGATTCTGATTGTTTATTTCTTAGAAAAATCTATGGTCACTTGAGTTTTGTAACTAAGACTTAAATACCTATACAAATCTAGCTTTATATAACATAATTTAAACATATTTTAAAGAAATATTTCAGAGTTATACATCAAACCACGTTTAAAATCTCGACGGGCGATGTAAACTGAAGCAGGTTGGTCGAAGGTGATAGTCGGGTAAATCAAAACATGGTATCAATCCATGAAGTGATTGCCTATTGTCTTATGCCATTTTGATAGATGTGGACTACTGGTTTAAGGCTCACGCAATAAATATCATCAGTGGTTTGAAGGGTTGAGTAAGATAGCTTAGAATCGACCACAGTAGAGTAGATATATTCATTCCTTATCTTCCTCTAGATCCAGAGCTCCAGTGTTCCTGCATTTATATCTTTGCTTTTTATCTTTATAAATAATATTATCAATTCCTAATTATTCTGATTATCACTAGCTTTAAATTATTTCGATTCCTTCAATATTTATTTTATCCCACCAATGTGATGTGGTGACGTCAACCACTGATATGCATATAATATACTTTAGAAAAAGGAAATCAAATTTAGGGAACAGGAACCTGGGATAAGTTCCACCTTATTAAGTCATCTAAGTGTATAACATTCAGGGATTGAGGTTATGTTCTCGTTTATTTAATCACCCAGTCGTAGATATTTTGATGTAATTTCTATGATAGAATTAATTAAAGATATATCCTCTACTATATTATGATTTTTCTTCCGTCATGACTAACTGTTCTACACTTAATATGTCCATAGCATGATGAAGTGGTATTTTCGTCACAAAAATGCTTTACATTTCTCGTGCCCTCCATCATAGACTATGATAGTGTAAATAATAATCCCTGCTTCATTTTGCTTAGTCGCCAGTTGCAAGGTCGAAATTGCAAACGAGAATAGAGTTTATCCTCACTTGAACAGAGTATAAAATTGATTATTAATTTTGATTAAATCAATAAATATCAATCCCTGAAAACCTTTACTAAATAATAAACCAAGTTTCATATATATTGTATAATAAAACGGTAAAGTATTCATCAATCTACGGAAACAATAGTTTAATAGAATAAGTAACCATCTATCAAATTTCACGGTTTTATAAAAAAGCCTATTAATGGAAATAAAGAATAAATATACAATTGCATAGTAAGTTTATCGAAAGAGAGATTTCACTTGACAAATAAATTATAAAGGTCATGAAAGTGTAAATTTTATCAAAATGTCATGGCAACAACTAATATAAACTTTGTTTTAACCTGAGAAAAAATAAAGTATTGAGAAGAAAAAAAAACGAAAACAAACCAACAAACCAACATCAGAATGGGTATTGTGAATATTATAGTAATTTCAATAATTGAGATCATGAGTCAGTTGATGCTAGACCACCATGGAAAACCTAAAAGCATTGGACGACCGTTTCACCCTACTGTGGGACTCCTCAGCAGTGTGTATCCACGATCTCGCCCCCCACCGCGAGATTCGAACCCAGGACATATCAGTCTCGCACGAGAGCGCTTAACCTCTAGGTCACTGAGCCGGTATCTAATAAACAAATACCCAGTTTATGAAATATTGAATGGTTCCTTCCTTAAGTTTATAAAATTTAAGTGTAACAATAGATGACCTCATGTAAGTGTCTACAATCTTTAACAATAGTTATAAACTTTATATACAAAGATGGATAATGGTTAGCAGTGAAATTGTAGAGAAGAATAATAGTAATAATATCTCAAATAAGATCTTGTTACAAGGGAAACAAGGTTTTAATTGAATCAGTTGAAAAATCTAATTTTAATTTGTTATCTGATAATTGTATGGTTAGATTTTTCAATGTTACTGAGGAATGAATCATTCAACTGATTAACTAGTGATTATATATGTTGATAGTCAAGGGAAAGTGATTGGAAACTAATGTGTCATTACTCAAAGAGTATTCACTGCTACTGTTGACTTTTATTAAACACGAAATAAATAGTAATGTGACGAGATGTTATTTGATTCTTAGGTGACTATGGAAGCAGAATTTAAGGAGATAAAAACAACTATGGAATATGTATAGGCTAGATACTTAATGTGTAGTAAATACTTAGGACCTTTCAATCAACCAATTAATCAACAATAATTGGTGACTTAACCTTTATTTAAAGTGGCTAATACAATTTTTTGAACTTGTTCTATCTAAGAAGTATGATGATGAAAAAGTATAACTGTGTCTCTCTTGTTTTAGATGACTAGTTTCCAACATAAAAGTGTTTGTATATTCTTCAAATGATATTGTTGGATACATCTACTATAAATGCTCAACCACTGTTTGTTTTGACGGGTGATGTTATGTGGTGATAAGTTAGATGAAAGCCAAAGGCAGCCAATTCATTGGTTCATAAAGTTCCTGACAAATGGTCTGAGCCGTGTGAGTATATACAGACTATTTGATGATCGTGACCAGTGGTTGGAAATGTTGGATAACATGTCTTAGAATAAGACAGAATTGCACAAATGACTTCACTTTTTGTCATTTCTAAAATCCTAAGTACTAAAATCTAATTGTTCATCTTTTTCCCTCTATATCTAATATTTTATACTTCTCCTCCTCCTCCTCCTCCTCCTCCTCCTCCTCCTACTACTACTACTACTACCAGAGCGCAACTGGTGTGTTCGTAAATAGACACTATTAAGCAGTTCTATGTAAAGTTCAGATATCTGTTCAGAGCTTTGTAAATCAAACTATTTGTCTAAATACACTTAAATGGTTAAGATCATGAGTCAGTTGAAGCTGGGCCACCATGGAAAACCTGGAAGCACTGAACGGCCGTTCCGTCCTATTGTGGGACTCCTCAGGAGTACGCATCCATGACCTTGCCCCCTGCGAGATTCGAACTCAGGACCTACTGATTTCCATGGTGGTCTAGCTTCAACTGACTGATGATCTTAACCATTCAAATTACTATAATTTCCACAAAATCCATCTGATATTAAATACATTTAGTTTATTCTGTAAACTATAGTATTCAACAATCTCTATAAATCCCTATACAATACTGAAATAATTATATTTAATAGGTTATTTAGTTACACTTAAATCTATTAAATAAAGTAGAGATTAGAGATAATAAAAGGGAATATTTTTAAAAAAATTTATACTTTTAAATGTTTCTATAGTAAAAGAGAATGATGAATTTTGTAAAATTAATGTTTAATTCATTCATTTATCATAATTGAAATCTCTTTATTTCACATCCATCAATGGTATATAATGAGGTTAGAAAACAAATAAAGTTTCTCATTAAACGGTATTAAAATTTCTACCTATACTTTTTTTATTTGTTCATTATGACGACAATAATAAATGTTATCTATATACAATACTATGATAGACGAAATTAGAACCAAAATTATCTACTTTAGTAAATTGTTCTTCATTGAAAAACCTAGATGTAGTGGACGGCTGCTTCGTCCTAATGTAGGACCGCTTAGCAGTGCACATTCACGATCTCGCCTCACCGGATTCAAACCCAGGACCTATCGGTCTCGTGCACGAACACTTAACCTCTATATGAATAAGTCAATATTCAAAAGTCTTAATGTCTAACCACAACCAGTCCACGAAATCATGCGACCATCTCCCATTGTATTGAGGTAGATACCTGTCTCCACTCGACACAATAAGTGTTTAAAGTAAATTCTATATAAATTCAGAATACCCGCTCACACAATCACTGTATTTCAATTGTATTTCAATGAATCCTAATAATTTTTTTTCAATTTTCCATAATTTTATGAATAAAAAGTATTTAGATGAACAACAGTTATTGATAAATAATCTAATCCTTCTTGGTTTTCAATGGTGATCTACCTAAGATCAATTTGTGATTCCATAGTATTTATAAAACTTTCTACTAATTCCTAG